TGTGGCGGCCTCTGGGGAAGCCCTGGGAAGGGACAGTTGGGTCCACCCTCTGCAGACCCATCCCTGAGCTGTCACAGACACAGAGCCCCGGGAGGATTCTCAGCAGTGCCTATCTGCCTCCTACCGGGGGCGCCCTGCCTCAGCCTCCCTGTGTGTGGAGGCAGCACTGAGCACAGGGAGGTCGCCTGGCTCTGCTCTGGGCAGAGGCTCCTCCCACGTGGTGGCTCAGGGCCTAGCGCAGGGCAGCCAGGCCCACAGTGTCCCCTAGAGTGATGTTCACATCTTCATCACCTCACATAGGTGACCCTGTTCCCTTTCGTACCATGTGGAAAGCAGTGCGGCCGCTTCCCGCTGGCGACCTGCTCTGTGGCTTCTTTCTCTCGCCTCTGCCTCTGTCACTGTCACTCCAGGGCCTGTGCACAGCTGGCTCATGCTGCACCCCCGAGTCCCATGCTCAGCCCCGTTTCCTGTGCAGCCGCCTGATAGGCTCAACAGCAAAGCGCGGAGTACCTGGGAATGCATGTCCCCTCCCCCGGAGTTACAGCTTCAAGTGCTATTGTGTGGCACGCACGGAAACCATCATGTGCCCTCTGTCCCTGGACATCTTGCATCTCACACCTGGGTCCTGCTGACGGGACTCTGGAGCCCTGTAGCAGTCTGGATCGCCCGGCATTGGGTGTTTTCAGTGCAGCCAACTCGGGGCGGGGAAGGGAGGCCGATCTGTCCACTGCGACATGGCAGCACCACTTTCCCAGGGGCTGTGGACATTCAAGGGGCTCGCAGAGGAAGACCCTCGTCACCGATCTACAGCACAGGATTATGGCTGGGTAACTCACAAAAACACTAAAGGAAAGCCCTAGCCTGGACGACCTGTGCCTATGCAGACGCCACAGCACAGGGCTTGCTGCTACCGGACTCGCTCGAATACCCACCGGGAAACCCGCATGGCCCAAGGTCACGTCCCAAGGTCGGGGCACTGAATGCCCCACGTCTGCATGCTGGGTGGTGCGGCCCTGCTGGGCTCTCACCGGGCAGGGGCACTTCCTGCGTCTGGGCTGGTGCTCATGTGGGGTTCTGATAAGATGCCAGTGCAGGGGAGTGTGGGTGCCAACACAGTGTGACCGACCTGTGGGCCGCCTTTGGACCTCCTGCTCACACCCATTGGCCTCTTCCCCTTAAAGAAACCTAACAGGCGCAACTTATCAAGAGCTGACATGTACCCATGTTTGGAAAAGAAACATCAAGCAAAGGAGTAACTTTGAACTCAAGAGCGATTTTGCCTCATAGTGCACTGAAGTGTTTTCAGGGTTGATGATGAAGGCAGCTGCATCATTTTTACTACTCCAAAAATGGTCAGTGGATCTAAGTTCTATTTTGTGAAGTCACCAAAGACTGTTTTTCCCCCCATCTGTCCTGAGGGCGAAGCAATTTGACTGTAGACAAAACCAGCTCATGCGAGGCTCCAGGGCAAGTGGCCCAGGGTGGATATTTCCGTGCAAAGTGAAACACAACCAGGCAGATGCAGTTTATCTTCTGTAGCTCAGATCAGCGCCCTTCCTGTCTACTGTGCTTTACACTCTGCAAGGTACTTTGGCACTTATTCCACTGGAAATTAAAATGTAACACCCTTGTCCCATCACCTGGCAGCAGATGTCCCACCGTCAGTTGCGGGGACATGGGCTTTATCTCTGGCTCCCGTGGGAGGGGCTGACTGGACTCCAGGCTCCAGCTCTCGAGAGCCCCACTCCTTCACTGCTCCCCCTCCTGGCAGGTGCAGCTGGTGCAGTTCCCACCACCCCACCCTCTTCTGTGGTCTGACCTCCCACCCGCAGCACACCTGTCCTGCTCCTGCAAGGCCTTCTGTGTTGTCAGAGTCACCCAAGGACTCTCCAGGTGTACTCAGGCTGTGCCTGCACCTCCCTGTCCCAGACACCACGAGTCACCGAGTCGGCCTGCCCTGTCCACCTCCTGCATCCCACTGTCCCTGGCCTCTCACCGGGACCCCACTCTGCATCTGCCAGCTGTCACCCCACCCCCACCTCAGCAAGGCCCCTGACATTCAAGCTGTGAAGCCCAGTGTTTGCTGACCCCCTTCCTCCGCACAACTCTCCCCCAATCTGCTGACCTTGTGGCCTGGCCCCTCGCTAGCTCCAGAATTTCCCTCTCTGATGGCTGCACCTGCCCACCCTGGGCAGAAGACCTCACTCTCTCCACTGCTCCCAAGACCCACACACTGAGGGTCCGCATTTCCCACCCAACCAGGAAACAGACTCACACCTGCCTCTGCCCAGCCTTCCCCAAAACCTACACAGATCTGGCAGAACCCTGGGAAGTCTTGGTTTCTCCACTTCCCTCCACACCAGCATCAGACCCCAGTGGTCTATACAGCTCCTGTCCTAGACAGGTCTCCACTCAGGCCCCTTCACCATCCTTGTCACCCAAGATGCCCCATGTCTCCACCACTGTGTGCCTTGGCTCGATGCCCAACTTCAACCCTTGCCACCCACAGTCACTGGCCTTGACAGACAGTCACAGCATGCAACCAGCTCGCAGCACCTCCTAAGGCCGTGTGCCTCACAGCCTGGCCTGGGCCAGGACTGGCTCAGCTCCTCCACCTGGGACCCTCACTCACAGGACCTGAAACACGCCTGTCACCTGTGAGGACTTAGGTTCAGGGTTTGGAAGAAATTCAAGTGAAAGGCCACACAGAGAGTAAAGGAACAATAGTAACTCTACCATTTCCAAGGAAGCTATTCCTCTGATTCTTCCTGCTTAGCTTGAACAACTTTAAAGCTCTTTTGGGTGCCAGGGCTCAAGCCCAGGCCCACTCATTCTAAGCATGAGTACTACCACTGACCCACTACCACCCTGAGCTTAATTTTAAAGGACATAATATATTTGGTTCAAAAGATTTTTTTACTGGGGCTGGGGTGTAGCTCAGTGGCAGAGCACTTGGCTGGTATGTGGGAGGCCCTGCATTTGATCCAGCACCACAACATAAAATAAAACAAAGCAAGTAATTTTATACCTGCAGGAAAATAAATTCAAGACCCTTGAGTCTTGGCTTTTGACAATGACAGACTTTCTTAAGGATGCAGTCTCAAAAAAGTACTGGATATAGTAGCTTCATGTTTATTATTAAAATGCTTGGTTTAGTTCTACTTTTATGATGTTCATAAACAAAATGCATTCCTTTCAGTAAAAGTTGTCTTTTCCAAATGTGCCAAGTATAGAGATCCACCTAGATGTTATTCTTGGGCAGGATAATCAAATGTGACTCTAAAAACCACATGATCTGATAAGTAGTGTGACTATTTTCAAGTATTATGGGGTAGATGCCACCAAAAGTTGTGCACATAGTGAAATAAAAAGTAGCACTTTCCAAAGGAATATTACACATCTGACAGTCATTTCCTCGTTCATACAAATCTTGGTTGTGAGAAAGCTTGTTCCCTTGGTGAGTGCGGACTGGTAACAGAGAGCAGCCTTAGCAAATCTGTGTGAAGACACAGCCGTACCCTTACCGTGGAAGCCATGGGTAATTCCTGAGCATGACCCTCTTCCCGGAGCACATAACCGTATATGTGAAGGGTATGTACGATTTAGCTCAAATGCCACTGACATGTGGCTTAGGGATGTCCCTTAAGTGATGCACGAGAGAGTCGCTGACAGTTTCTCAATTTCAGATTGAGTAAGACAACCCTGTCCTCTGTGAGTGTCAGGAACAGAAAGAAGGCAAGGGACTGGGGAGTAAATCTTAGTTTCTCACTCTTTGCTACAGATACCTTTCCCCCCAAAGAGCGGAGCAACTGTGACTGCCCTGAGCAAACGCGGCAGTAGCGAGGTGAGCACGAGACAGCCAGTGTGCAAAGGGCCACACTGCGGAGGAGTGTGAACGCCACTCCTGAGCCCCCCGACCGTGTGTCTGGAGCTCTCTCCAGGGCTCGAGATGCCACTGGGAACCAGGAAGACGTCCCATGGCCTGGCCTGGTTACCAGAAGGCCTCTCAGAATGGCTGCCCTGCCCACCGCCTCTTCTCACCCCTCTCGGCAGCCAGATGAAGCCACAGAGGCCCCCTTCCTGGCCAGGTGCCACCCTGACTCCTTTTGGGGTTCTCAGGTGTCCCTGGCCACAGTGGAAGCACAAGTCACACTAAGGATAGAAACAGAAACTTTAAAGTAAGTGATTCTTGGTGGTCATTCAGATGCAGAGGCCACGGCATGCCCATGCTCTGTGCAGAATGGGGGGACCGGTGGGGGCGCCCCGGCCCTCACCCTGCACAATGGTTTTGGCACCAGCTTCCCTTGGAAGAGGAGGCTCTGAGTATGAAAATGTCTCAAACCACCATGGCAGGCAGCACAAACCCCAAAGTGCTGCTGGGTCTGCACAGACTCTGGTCAGAACTCTAACAGAAACCGCTTTCTGAGAGACCTGACGCTCCATCTTCCTTTAAAGCCTGCTTTATCAAATGACCAGATGACAATATTTTTAAGAAATGTAAATTTGCCGAACAAGAGAAAACTGACAGTGACATCACCTTCCACAGAAGCAGCACCACCGCACGAGAAACGCGGATCCACCGCAGGAAGGCAGGCGTGGACCGAACCGCACTCGAGCACAGAACACAACGCAGCAAGGGAACCAAGGGTCCTGCTTCCAGTGGCGCACACCCTCGACCCAGTCAGCCGCACGGCGCAGTCCCTGAGACCTGTCCCCTGGTATCTCCACGGAGGCAGCTGTGTCCTCGCTGGTGCTACCTGGGATGCAGCCACACTGCTCATTTTTACGAGAGAAGAGAGCACCGCTGACATCGCTAAAGGTCCGCTGCCTCCCTGTCTGTCTGTCATCACAGACACCAACATCTTCCTACAGAGGGGACTTTCAGAAGTTAGCTTTCAAAAAAGCTGGTAATGAATTAGTATTAATGCTGCTTCTCAAGCAACGGCATAAAAGCAGTCTGCCTTTCACCTTTCAAAATATTTCAGCAACGACTCACTTACCTGGGAATAGTCAAAGTCCGTGATGGGGGCTATGCTCTTGATGTAATCGGACCGGAACTGGTTTTCGGGGTTGGCCAGTGGGACTGGAGGGATGATAGTGCTCATTGCTGAGACGATCGTCTAAGGCAGGGTGAAAATACAGAGAAATGTAAGCCACAGGGTCTGTGTGTGACACCTGAAACACATCACTTCTGCCTGCAGGTTTCAGAGCACAGCATTTAACCTTTCTGTTCAACACACATTTAAGAAAAAGTCCTTACCACGATAGCATCTTTGACATTTTTTCGGATGTCCAGAATTTTCTGTTTCTTCTCCCTGTGTGGAAAGAGAACTGTTATTAATGGAACTCACTCTTGGCACTGATTAGAATGTCGCAAACGGGATTTTAAATTTCCAGTGAGGCCGCAGGCAGGCTAGTTTCACTAGTGGATATTGGCAAATATTTCCCCTAGGAAATGAAAACATTTCTCTCTTCTAATCAGGACGCCAGACAAACTCAAATGCACGCATCAGCTGAAAGAGTCATGCAGCACCTAGAAATGTGGTGCAGGTGCATAAAGGCACCTGTGCAGTCCTGCTTAGTCTACCGGGTACTGCAGGCATAGACTGAAACAGGTGTGAGCAAGTCACACTAGAGGAGTTCTCGGACACTCAAGTGGCCACCAGGGCTGCGTACAACAACCAGGGTAGAGTATCTGGAAAAACTGGACATGCACTGAACAGTACGGATCTCCTTCTGACCCTTATTTCCTGAACAATGCAGCACACAACCCTTAGGTGACAGTATCATAGATGTCGGAGGCGATCTGAGGATGTCAAAGGGTACAGACGGCAACGATTTATATGAGGGGCCCCTGGTCATTTGGGGCTTGGTACCTGCAGGGTCCTCAAATGCCCAGCAAGGATGAAGGCACTGGGTAGAGTAGGGGGCAATTCCAGACCCCAAGAACACCCAATAGATCTTATTCTGTTAGGCAAGCCACTTTTTAACTAAACAGCACCGGGATTTGCTAAATAGGCCAAACTCGACAGCAAACGTCCGGGTTTCCCTCTGAACTGTACTCAGGGATGGGGGAACTGGAGCCAGCGCTTCAGGGACGCGGCAGAGCCCACTAAACCCTCAGCGACCAAACCGGGCAGCCTTACTCAGGATTGAATCCGTTGACGTGGAGGATCCTCATCTGTTTGACGATCGTGCTTTTCCCAGACTCGCCAGCCCCTAGGAGCAAACAAACAGATGGTGGTCACCTGTGTGCTCCCCGCGTGGCCGTCCCCACCACGCCCAGACCGGCGGGACTGGATTCTCCTGCCCTGGGCTGCACAGCCCTGTGCCCGCGCGCCGGAGCTGGGTCCTGAGGTCCGGGGGTCGGCGC